GGAAGATCAGAGACCAAAAGGCGAGAGTGCATGCCACGAAGGCGTGGCAGGGAGGGGTGACCAAGGCGGTGGTGCCAAAGGAGAGTCTGAGACGACAGGCGGCGACACTCACAGGGGGCTGCTACCGGACCTGACGGGGACACCTGAGCAGACGCAACGACTTGAGGCGGCGCAGTAGTCAGTGTGTACAGACTCGACCCCGGCCGACGAGTGAACGTGGCCAGTTGAAGGCCAGTCCGAGAGCACGTACAGATCGCCACACGCTGCCATCCAGGTGTAAAGGTATCAACCCCTGCATCCTGGAGGACTGCGTTGCTCACCAAGTTCGTCGAGAACGAGGGGAGGTGGAGACCGGACAGGGAACCGGACGGAACGGCTGGGCACGGGAGCACAGTAGAGGAGCGTGCAAGAACCGGGCCCCCAGAGGGGTCAGCCAGGGAAACTGCAACAGGCCTGGTGAGTGGTGTGACTGTGGTACTGTCGCGAAAGAAGCAGCAAGAATCACCTGAGTCAAGCATGAAGGTGTGCAAGGCCTCAGTAGGCGCAGTACCAGAGAGAGCAGACTCACTAGCACCTAGAGCAGCAGCCTCTATACCAGGGTCATACGGCGCACACAAGTAACAGTCACCCTCAACACTAGTAGACAGAGCATACATGCCAGCAATGATAGCATCAAAGTCTAGAGCAAAGATATCAACACCAGCCTTAAGCAGCTCTGCCCAGCGGGGCAGCTCATGCTCGTCGCCCATCTCCTAGCGCCAAGCGTCGTCTAGGCGGGAGAAACAGCGGTGCTGGGTGTGAAACTTCCCGCACGTCTGACCAGCGCGGGGACCTGTGCAAATAACATACAAGCAGCGACCACTACCACCACCCCTAGACGCCGTACGCTGAGCAAGCCACTCACGAAGCTGCTGGGGCGAGAGGGTCTCACGCGGACGCTGCTGCTGCTGCCGCTGAACTGCGCCAGAGCGATCACCACCGCCGCAGTTGCCACCACCCCCGCCGCTACCGCTCCCGCCACTACTGCTCCCACTGCCACCACGACCACTGCCACCACCACCCCCGCCGCCGCCGCCACCTCCTCTGCCGACGCCCCCACTCGCTCCACCACTCCCACCGCCACCTCCACCACCTCCGCCTCCCCAACCACCTCCACCACCACCCCCCCCCGCCGCCACCCCCACCACCCTTGCCCCCCTTGCCCTTGCCGCTGCGATGCTTCCCACTAGGAGCAGAAGCAGCACCGACCTCCTCAGCACCAAGGAAGTCGACAGCAGCAGCAGAAGCAACAGAGGGGGCAAGGGGGGAGGGGGAGCACCCCTCAAAGAAGGGCGTGCGAGGGGTGCCACGGGTAGCACCTACAGCGACTATGTTGGCTTCAGCTGCAAGAAGGTGCTTCCCTAGCAGGTCGATAGTGAGGTCTGTGGGGGGGAGAGCGAGAAGGGTGTCCCGGACTGCACTAAGAGAGTCAGGGAGGCGTGTCACTATAAAGTGGAGAGTGATATAGATCGGGGGCTCGTTCTTGGGCAGGAACTCGGTAGGGAGGGCAGCACGGTAACGAGCGTCCATAGCGCGAAGGTGGGAGAGGAGATAATCTACAGTGGCGAAGGAGGACAGGTCAGGGAAAAGGTAGGGCAGGAAGAGGCGGCTAAGCGCTGCAGTGGCAGGGGATGAGTAGCGGGCAACTACAGCGTCGTACAGGGCCTTAGCGGTTTTTGCCTGGTCAAAATGCTCAATTCAGCTACCGGCAGGTGGTTGCGAATGGCTAGGCGAGCAGCAGCATCGCGGGTAAGCCACTGCGAGCGAGTCGTCGCGTCAGCTGAGGCTGGTGGGGCAGTGGAGGCACCAGTCGCTAGGTCATAGAGCGAAACACCGTCCCTAGCGTCGCTCAGCAGGTACAGCTGCAGGTCCTGGAGCCAGGTTTCGAATTTGACTGGGCGGCCGTCAGGATCGAATGCGAGAATACGCAGAGTGGCCATAGTTTAGCAGCTCAGTAGCAGGGCAGGGCAGAGGCAGCGCAAGGGCTGCAGAGGTTTCAAGCATGCAGCAAGGGCGGCGCACGAGGCTGTAAGGGCAGGGCGCACGCTGCAAGGGCGTTGCGCGGGGCTGCAAGGGTGGCGCACGGGGCAGAGCAGAGGCAGCGCAAGGGCTGCTGGGGCAGGGCGCGGGCTGCAAGGGGCTGCGCGCGGGGTGGGGCAGAGGCAGCGCGAGGGCTGCTGGTGCAGGGCGCGGGCTGGAAGGGCGGCGCGCGGGGCAGGGCAGAGGCAGCACGAGGGCTGCAGGGGCTTGCGCGGGGCTGCAGACAACAGCGTGTGGGCTACAGGGGCAGCGCACGGGGCCACAAATGGTAGTGCGCGGGCTGCTGGGGCTGCACACGGGCGGCGAGGGCGGCGCGCGGGCGGCGAAGTCGGCGCGCGGGCGGCGAAGTCGGCGCGCGGGCGGCGAAGGCGGCGCGCGGGCGGCGAAGGCGGCGCGCGGGCAGTGAAGGCAGCGTGCGGGCTGTGAATAGGCGACGCGCGCTGGTTGCAGGGGCGGCGCGCGGGATTGCAGGGGCGGTGCGCATAGGCGGTACAGGGCAGGGTAGGGCGTGGGGTAGCGCAGTAATTAGTGGGCCCTAAAAAATCGGTCCTATGGACCTACTGCTCTTAATACCATGTTGAGAATCTAGGCCAAGAATGATTGGACTAGGAAGCAATGGGATACAAATGTGAAAACCCTAGAAGGGTTGTACCCCTTAGTGGCTACCCCACTATAGCCTACACAATATGCACAGCATATAGTTTGTCAGCTCTAGGCTTACACGCTACAGCTTACCTCTTCCTAGGCGGTGTGTATACCTATCGTTATTCATCCCCCACCACGTGTTTTTTGGGTTGCGTAGCAACCCTTTATATTTGGTAGCACTTTTCCGTCGACTCGAATGAACAGTGCAATTTTTGTCATTATCCCAACGTTTAAAGCCCTCGTTTCAACGTTTTCTAAACGAGTGCTCCAAAGTTGTGGAGATGACGTAAGCACTGATAACACACGAGTCCCCCCAAAATGAAACCAAATGTAACCTTTCATTCCATAATCGTCGATAAATACGGCGAATGGAACAATTGGTCGTCACGAAACACAATTGACGAGAAACACCCACTGGACGTGAATGCAAATCATGTGCAGTGCATCCATTGATCACGTGCAAAAACACATAACAACTGAAAGTGAATGCTAAAATGCATCGCTGCTACAACTGAGATGGTTCCGGTATGCTAAGGCGAGCAACGCTGCCCCAACAACGATCCCCACCTCAAATGCAGACCCGACACACTTTAACATCACACCTCAGTTGCATAACACGTGCAAAAACAACACAAACAATAGCGAGTGAATGCTAAAATGCACCGGTGCTACAACAAAGGTGGTTCCGGTATGCTAAGGCGAGCAACGCTGCCCCAACAACGATCCCCACCTCAAATGCAGACCCGACACACTTTAACATCACACATCAGCTGCATACACGAGGCACTTCAGCACATGCCTCGAGACAGACAGGTGCAAACAGACAAACACACATATCTCACATAGGCTCACACGCGCACGTACACACACGCATAAGCACATGCAAAGCACACAGACACACACGCAAACAAGCACAGATAGATACAGAGACAGTAATAAAGACACAACCGTCATGAATAAAATTCAGAAATGCAGAAATGATTGCTAGCCTATCCCACCTTCCCCCTCCCTACAACCCCCCCTCCCTCCTTCCCTCATCTGCATCCCACTCCCTCCCTCATCTCCCTTCTCAGCTCATGTGCCCTGCACATAGCAAAATCAGGGAAGTCAACACACACACGCCCTGCACAAAGCAAAATCAGGGAAGTAAACACACACACGCCCTGCACAAAGCAAAATCAGAGAAGTCAACACACACACACCCTGCACAAAGCAAAATCAGATAAGTCAACACACACGCGCCCTGCACTAAGAAAAAACAGAGAATTTAGCACGCACGTGCCCTGCACAAAGCAAAACAGAGAAGTTAGCACACACGCGCCCTGCACAAAACAAAAACAGAGAAGTCAACACACACAAGCCCTGCACAAGCAAAAACAGGGAAGGCAACACACACGCGCCCTGCACAAAGCAAAAACAGAGAAGTTAGCACACAAGCGCCCTGTACAAAGCCAAAACAGAGAAGCTAACACGCACGTGCCCTGAATAAAGCTAATACAGCGAAGTCAACACTCACACATGCTCTCTCATGCTCTCTCACTTGCTCTCTCACACGCCTCTCACGCGCTCTCTCACGCGAACTCTCACGCACTCTCTGACACTCTCTGACGTGCTCTCTCATGCGCGCACTCACACGTTCTCACTCGCTCACTCACGGGCTCTCTCACGCGCTCTCTCGCGCGCTCCCTCACGCGCACACTCACATGCTCTCTCACGCGCCCTCACGCGCACTCACTCGCTCTCTCACGCACTCTCTGACACTCTCTTACACTCTCTGACGTGCTCTCTCATGCGCGCACTCATGCGCTCTCACTCGCTCACTTACGCGCTCTCTCACGTGCTCTCTCGCGCGCTCCCTCACGCGCGCTCTCACGCGCACACTCACACGCTCTCTCACGCGCCCTCACGCACACTCACATGCACTCTCACGCGCTCACGTGCACTCTCACGTGCTCTCTAATGCACTCTCTCACGCACTCTCGAACACTCTCTCTCACGCTCTCTCACGCGCTCTCTCAAGCGCACTCTCACGCGCTCCCTCACACGCTCTCTCTCTCGCAACCTCTCGCGCACTCTCACGCGCATTCTCTCTCTCAAGAGCTCTCTCGCGCGCTCTTTCACGCGCTCTCTCGCTCGCACTCTCATGTGCTCTCTCACGCGCTCTCTCACGCGCACTCTCACAGGCTCTCACGCATTCCCTCGCGCTCCCTCTCGCGCACTCTCTTGTGCATTCTCTCTCACGCGCTCCCTCTCACGCACTCTCACGCGCTTCTTTGATGCAATCTCTCACGCGCTCTCTCACGCGCTCTCTCACGCACCCCCTCACGCGCTCTCTCAGACGCTCTCTCACGCGTTCCCTCACGTGCTCTCACACGTGCTCTCTCACGCGCCCTCTCACGCACGCGATCTCTCATGCACACTCTCACGAGCTCTCTCATGTTCTCTCTCACGTGCTCTCTTACACGCTCACTCTCACGTGCTCTCTCACCCGCTCTCTTACACGCTCTCGCACGCACACTCAAATGCGCACTCTCACGCGCTCCCTCACGCGCTCCCTCACGCGCTCTCTCACGCGCTCTCTTACGTGCTCTCTCACGCGCTCTCTCACGCGCACTCTCACGCGCTCTCTCACGCGCACTCTCACGCGCACTCTCACGCGCACTCTCACGCGCTCTCTCACGCGCTCTCTCACGCGCTCTCTCACGCGCTCTCTCACGCGCTCTCTCACGCGCACTCTCACGCGCTCTCTCACGCGCTCTCTCATGTGCCCTCCCACGCTCTCGCACGCACTCTCGCACGCGCTCTCGCATGCGCACTCTCACGCGCTCCCTCACGCGCTCTCTCACGCGCTCTCTCACGCGCTCTCTGACGCACTCTCTCACGCGCTCTCTCACGTGCTCTCTCACCCGCTCTCTCACACGCTCTCGCACGCGCTCTCGCATGCGCACTCTCACGCGCTCCCTCACGCGCTCTCTCACGCGCTCTCTCACGCGCTCTCTGACGCACTCTCTCACGCACTCTCTCACGCGCTCTCTCACGCGCACTCTCACGCGCTCTCTCACACACTCTCTCATGCAATCTCTCACGGGCTCTCACGCTTTCCCCCGCGCTCCCTCTCGCGCACTCTCTTGTGCATTCTCTCTCATGCGCTCTCTGACGCACTCTCTCACGCACTCTCTCACGCGCTCTCTCACGCGCTCTCTCACGCGCTCTCTCACGCGCTCTCTCATGCGATCTCTGACGGGCACTCACGAATTCCCCCGCGCTCCCTCTCGCGCACTCTCTTGTGCATTCTCTCTCACGCGCTCTCTGACGCACACTCTCTCGCACACTCTCACGCACTCTCACGCGCTCTCTCACGCGCTCTCTCACGTGTTAGAGACTAAGGACGGAGTCTAGAACATTTAGGGGCCGAAATATCTCAAAATCGTTGGACCTATGCTCTGGACAGAAAAGTCGACTTCACAAGAAACGCCGTCGACAAAAAACTAACCGTTGGAACTTTCTCAAACTCGAGTATCTTGTAGCCCTTGACCGTGGATATCTTTCCCAATTTGAATCGCATCCAAAGATGGAGTATAACTCGAGTTATGATTTTCTACGCACTAGGGGGTAAGCTGCCATAGAAACTTAACTCAATCACAATTATCTCAAGTTGTCACAAAGAGGATTCCAGGTAGGAGGGAAGAGAAGGACGAGAGGGAAGGTCCCATTGGAGTCCCAAACCAAGGAAACCCCATAAGCACACAATTCCCTCCCTATAGGAACCCCAACTTTGACTCTTGTCAATTTCCGAACCTCTCAAATCCACCTCACCCAACTTGGCCACACTTGCCAACCTGGTTTGGCTTCTCCCAACCATTTGGCATCAACTACAGTAGAGTGACGAATTTTCCCAACCCCCAAAAGTCTATACCCCATATTGAGTCACTCCACAAATTCCCAAAGTCGCCGCATCACAATCAAAGCTTCAAACGATAATTACTTTCTCGTTCTTGCTCCGATCGCGACGATTCTTGGTTCGTTGGAAAGCTCTTGAGCAGAGAAGTCATTTCAGATATCTGCTCAAGCAAAACATCATTCACACACACTCAGGGAATCCAAAACACACCAAACACAAATTCTTGCACACGCTCACACAACGCATGCAACACACGAACATATGATGGGAGGCAGACAGACGTGAATGCAAATGATAGCATCACATAACATCACGCGCTCTCTCACGCACACGCTCTCTCATGCGCACTCTCACGCGCTCTCTCACGGGCCCTCTCATGTGCTCTCAGGCGCTCTCTCACGTGCTCTCTCAACCGCTCTCCCACACGCTCTCGCACGCGCTCTCGCATGCGCACTCTCACGCGCTCCCTCACGCGCTCTCACGTGCTCTCACGCGGTCTCTGACACACTCTCTCACGCGCCCTCTCACGCGCTCCCTCACGCGCTCGTGCTCTCTCACGCACACTCTCACACGCTCGCTCACGTGCTCTCTCACGTGCTCTCTAACGCGCTCTGTCACGCGCTCCCTCATGTGCTCTCACACGCGCACTCTCACGCGCTCTCTCACGCGCTCTCTCATGCAATCTCTCACGGGCTCTCACGCATTCCCCCGCGCTCCCTCTCGCGCACTCTCTTGTGCATTCTCTCTCACGTGCTCTCTCTTGCACACTCTCACGCACTCTCACGCGCTTCTTTGATGCAATCTCTCACGCACTCTCTCATGCGCTCTCTCATGCGCTCTCTCACGCGCTCCCTTACGCACTCCTCACGTGCTCTCTCTCGCGCACTGTCTCGCGCATTCCCTCTCTCACGCGCTCTCTCTCGCGCACTCTCACACGCTCCGTCACGCACTCTCAAACACGCGCTCTCTCACGCGCTCTCTCACGCGCTCTCTCACGGGCTCTCACACGCTCTCTCACGTGCTCTCTCTCGTGCACTCTCTTGCACAGTCCCTACGAGGCGAGCAGAAAAGAAAAAAAAAGGGGGAAATTTCAGAAGGGGGCGGGAGGATTAAAGGACGGAGAACGCACCTGATAATGACGGTGCCTCAGAAAACAACCCGCGCTGGCGCACCAACCCCCGCTCGCGCACCCACCCGAGCTCGAGCACCGACCCGCGCTCGCGCACCAACTCGCGCTTGCACTCGTGCACCTGTCGCTAGAGGCGACGGCAGGGAGGAGGGAGAGGCGACGGTGGGGAGGAGGGAGAGGCGACGGGCGGGGAGGATGGAGAGGCGACGGCGGGGAGGAGGGAGAGGCGACGGCGGGGAGGAGGGAGAGGCGACGGCGGGGAGGAGGGAGAGGCGACGGCGGGGAGGAGGGAGAGGCGACGGCGGGGAGGAGGGAGAGGCGATGGCGAGGAGGAGGGAGAGGCGACAACGGGGAGGAGGGAGAGGCGATGGCGGGGAGGGGGGAGAGGCGACGGCGAGATAGGAGGGAGTGGCGGCGGCGGGATTGGAGAAGAGGCGGCGGCGGGATAAGAGGGAGTGGCGACGGTGGGGTGGGAGGTAGTGACGATGGCAGGGAGCGAGGGAGAGGCGACAAGGGGGTGGGAGTGAGAGGCGGCGATGGGGTGAGAGGTGGCGACGAGATGGGAGGAAATGGCGACGGCGGGGTAGGAGGGATTAACGCCAACGAACAAGGCGCCAAAGTGCCTGCGAACAAGGCGCCATGGCGCCTGCGAACAAGGCGCCATGGCGCCAGCGAACAAGGCGCCAAAGCGCCTGCGAACAAGGCGCCATGGCGCGTGTGAACAAGGCGCCATGGCGCCTGCGAACAAGGCGCCAAAGGCACCTGCGAACAAGGCGCCATGGCGCCTGCGAACAGGGCGCCAAAGGCGCCTGCGAACAAGGCGCCAGCCTTCAAAGGCGTCAGCCTTCGAGGCACCAAGCGCCCTGCCAACGCTAATAGCACCTATCGGAGCAACTGATGAAGCGCGGCAGTGGGAGAGGAGACTACTGCTCTACCAACGTTGAACAATCTTGCTAGAATCAAGAAACGTTTGATTAAGATCAAGAATCGAGGCTCAGAAACAGATGACTGAAACAGGAAACGAGGAAGCAGTTGCTTGATGGTGTTCGACCTCCTCACGATAATCTGAGCGGGTATTGAAAGAGCAAGAAAGATGCGCTTCGGGAAAAACATGTGCAAGAAACATCATGCGGTGCGGAGAAACATGAGGAAGAATACGAGGCACCAGCACCAGCGCCAGCGAGTTACCGCCAGCATCTGTGTGCACGTGAAATTCAGCTGACTCCAACTACATTTTGTGTGCAGTTTGCACCAGCTCCAGAAAGTGAAAAACTAAACGAACGTCCCCCATAATAGTAGAGTCGTAAATCACTTGTCTAATAGTACATGCTTATATTCTTCTCCAAAATTCCTCATAATTTAGTGTGTGAGATAGAGACAAAAATGCAATACATATATAACAAAAATCTTGATGGGAAAAAATGTTATATGCACAAATGCGTTGCATTTATCTTGAGTACGGTATTCAGGACGCGATAAAAATAGACGATCAATCGTCAATCGCGATTGATGTGCGACTGCAGCCAACACCACCAAGGATGCTGCCATGCTACTTTGTGCAGCATGTTAAAAAAACAGCGACAAAGGTGCAGTGGCGCATATTCCAGTTCGACCGTTCCGTACTTCGCTTTTGTCATTCAGGCAAGCTTTGATGCTGACTGTGCGAGTGTGCGACTGGAGATTGTGAATGTGCGACTTGGGAGCTGATGGTGGCAGGTTGCGGCTTGCCGATTCGTGCGTTCGGTTGACCTGCATGTAAGATAATTGTTACCGTTCTAACGCTGGCTACAATTATGGTTGCTGCAAATTCGATCCTAACAGAGCATCATGACGTTCGCTTGTGTTTGTGCATATGGATCTGTCGTGCCCTCATCCCTGCTATTCTCGGGTTAAACCATAGGTGCCGTTGCACTAGCCCCTCGAACGCTCCGCCCCATGTTTCCTGAGACTCACGATCTATTGCTATGATTGTCTTGCGGGTTTCATGTTAATTATATCACTGGTGATGTTCTTGTGTGCAGGTTCATCACATTCCATTTTGTTTTGTCTTTCTTTTTTTTGTGCAGGTTTGACTGTTCCGAACAGCCATACTTTCCAGATGTATACGTAGCCAGGCTATGGTGTTCCGGGCTATACGTTGTTTGTACATTTGCGAAGTGGCTTTAGTTCGTACATCTGCGCAGTGGCTTTAGTTCGCACATCTGTCGATAGCTTTAGTTCGTATGTCTGTGTAGTAACTTCTATATATGCACATGTGATGTGACTAACGAAGCCCATTCGAAATGCCAACTGCTGTGTTATGAAATTTCGGCTTACGGAAATGGGCGATGCTGCGTCGCTCGATAATAATCGCCAGTCAATCACAAAACATTTCTGCACCCGCGTCCCCGACGTTTGATTGGTTCATATCTACCAATCAGACCCTCAGATTCACTTTTAGGGTCGCTGATGAATTAGGATCCCTGTGAAGAAAAGCCTGATTTTCAGTGTCCCTTAAAAAAAAAAAACCCGAATTTTCCGGGTTAGTAAATAAAAAGGACTGATTTTCATGCAAATGATGCCTTTGTATATGAGGGCGGTCTTCATGAACCACGACAGCCGAGGGATTCGAATCGATGATCTTACCCTTCGGTAGCGATTTTGCTAACCACTGAGACAGTTGAAGCCGTCAGCTGTCAGCTTTTTACTTAATTTCGCGGTAATTGTTGGAGGACTGAATCTCTCGGGTGTTTTACAGGAAGGTTTCGGAATGTGCATTCAGTGTGCACTTTGATAAAAGACTGAAAAATCAGTGTTAATGATGAAATAAAGGTTGAAAAATCAGTATCACAAAAATCTCAACACTGAAAAATCAGTGTAGGTACACAAAAATAGGCTGAAAATCAGGAATTTTAGGGGGAAATTCCTGATATCGTAGGGCCTGCCACCAATCAACGACAATGACACCTAGCAAAATATCTTGGCACACGTGACACGTGGCATGGTAACAAAAAATTGACGAGAATGTCGCTTCACCAGACACACTACTGTGACATGTTGTGTGACATTAGGTCACATTTACGTGACATTTCCGTGACAACGCAGGGAACATCGTGGCCGGTACTTTCAACCATGACTAAAAAAACGCCGGGACTTGCGGTCACGTAAAAGTCACATTTCGAGCACAGTTTTTGTGAAATTCGGCACTTGCCATTTTTCGTGATGTGAAACGTTGCTGGCAGGGAGATAGTAGCCTTAGTAGGCTTGAGAAACGGGTATGAAGTGCTCTCTGAAGTTCTCTTGACTTTGCACTATAACTTCACAAATTTGAGAGTACAATTTATAGAGCCCATTCATACATCGAGTCACACTCCCAAGTCGCGACACTCTGAATTTCTCAATGGTAACCCAACCCTTTGAAATGAACCTGCCGTGAAATTCAGAGAATTATTGCGGTACGGGATTGGCCGGCGAGCTTGGTTACGGGGCTGTAATTTCGTCGGTGTTGTTGGCGAAGTCGGCGAGCGGTCGGAACTTCGGTGTTCTGCGTTTCGTAATTTTTGCGGGTGGGTTTAACTTGGGCTGCTTGTCGGAACTTTGTCGCCCAACTACAAATTGAGGCGCTTGACCAATCCGGATTGTAGGTGAGGTGGCGCTTGACTTCCGCCCACCTGCATTGCAGTTGGCAGCATTCGGCTGCTGCACTGTTACATTACTTCCCCCTCCAAGTGGCGTCGTCCACGGCGCCAAACCGCGGCTGGTCAAGTACCGATTCACAGCAGGTGTGGCACGGTCAAGGTGGCTCTCGGGTTCCAATGAGTCTTCACTAGCGGGCTGATCCTTCCAATGAACAAGAAACTCACGACCATGAGGTGTGTCGCGGTGAGCAGTGATAGATGCAACCTCAAACAGGCCGGGGCTGCCTTCGAACATCGGTGGCAGTGGGCGTGGGGCTGGACGGTCATGTGAAGGTGCACAGAAAGGGCGGAGGCGCTGGACATAGAAGATGGGGTGAATCTTCATATAGCTGGGCAGTTGGAGCCGGTAGTTGACTGGTGAGAGGACTCGGGTGATAGTGAATGGGCCAATAAAGCGAGGGGCGAGTTTTCTTTGAGTAGGAGAGGTAGGTGGTCAGTGGAGAGAAGCACTTGATCGCCAACCTTGAAGCGGATATCTTTGCGGTTCGAGTTGGCATAGTGGGTCTGTTTGGCTTGTGCTTTAAGGATGGAGGTGCGAGCGGCATCAATGGCTGATTCGAGTGAAGAGAGGAACTCAAAGGCTGCTGGAGTGTGTGAGAGATGAGAGGGGGGGTTGTTGGGAGGCGTGGGTGCTGTCCAGTTGCGAGGTAGAAGGGTGGCTGATCAGTGGAAAGGTGGGGGGTACTGTTGTAAGCGAGTTCGATGGCGGTGAGGTGGAGGTCCCAATCGGTTTGGCAAGCGGTAACTTGTGCACGAAGGGCGTCTTTGTTACGATATGAAATTCAATGAGAAGGCATTCATGTATGCTGCAGGAGCCGACTCTACCGAGTACGAAGTCGAGGCGTCAGAAGAGTCGAAGCGATGCCAACAATCATCAGATCAAGACCGATGTAGGCAGTTAAGATTTGAAATGAAAAGAGCGGGAACAGGTTTGAAACAGGTTCCCGCGCCGCACGGTTTGAACTTCGCTGCAATAAGGGAATGTACCCCTTAGAGTACATGGCTAGTCTAGGTCTTTTCGTATTCCCTGTATTTCCTATATAAACTCGATGTATGCATGTCATTATCATCTCAGTCATTTTACATTCACTATAATCTGAGGTCAACACTTCCGCTGCAACACTACCTGCGATCAACCCTGAGCGATCCTTCGCTAAGTCCCATTAGGGATTGTAACATGGTACGAGAGCTACTTATGAATTCTTCGCAACGTCACTTCCGTAAAATTCGCCGAACCTAAATCTGGCGAGCGGCACACGCTCCAAGACCAAGATGGCCAGAGGCCAAACGAATCGGACGGCCGAAGGACAAACCAACCCGGCTGCGACAAATGAGGCGACAACTACGATCAGCACTGCCGCACTTGAGCAGTTATTCTCGCGACTATCAACTATGGAGAAAGAACTCCAAGAATTTTGCAAAGGCGACGCAGGAACCTCTTCCCAACCAGCTCAACCTGGTCAACCGGCTTCGAAAAGCCATGATACTGCCGCGCACAGCTTCTCTCTCGACACAGACAAATCAACAACAACTGCACCCCGTCCAAGTGATGAAGTCATCAACTCTGCGCAAGCACGATTCCTCATTGTCTCAAAAATCAAGACTGCTGCTGCGTTTGAAGGCAAGAACTTCTACACATGGAGTTTTGAGCTGGAGCTCCTCCTACAAACAGCGCAGATCTACCACTACTTCGACGGCTCCTATCCTAAACCGGTGGAAGACACCGAAGACGCCCGGGCTCAGTACTACAGTGAGTCCCTTATGGCGTATAGCGTGCTGCTGCGCAATATGACGCCTGCGGAACAACTCGGCATTCGCTCCTACAAAGAGAGCGCCGCTCCAGCCCTGGAAGCCTGGAAGCACCTCGTTGAGGTATATCAGCCGAAGGACTCAGTCACCTCCAGCAGGCTCCTGCAGCAACTCATGAAGACTAAGAGGAACATACATATACTAACCGCTGTCGGAACATTAGTGACCAGATCACGAAGCATCGAAGCGCCATTTCGGAGGAGATCTTCATCAACATCGTCCTCCAAGGACTTGGGCCTGAGTGAAAGTCTTGCAAAGCGCTACTCCGACAACGAGGAATCATCTCAGATGCCGCGCTATGCGCCGCCCTCCTGACTGAACAGCGGGACATGGATTCGAGCAGGACAAGCTCCGCGCCGCGCTGAGAGTGCCTCGCCTTCTACACAGACAATCGTGAAGAGCGACGACAACCAAGGCGCCACTATTGCAAAATCTGCAAAATCTTCGGACACTCAACGGACCGATGCAAATCCCGGTCCAACTATCGCCACCCGAATTCCACTCACCACAACAATTGGGTCGGCCGACAAGACGTTCGTCAATCTCAGCTTCAACAACAAACTTCTCGCCCTCCTGCACAGCAACAACAACAACAGACTCAAGCACCTCAAGCAGGAGCTCCTAGAA